AAAAATAGAATTATTGTCCCATATCATGGGGACAACCCCAATACTTGAAATGGCGCGCGCTTACGGTCTCCGTCCCCGATTATGGCTCCTGATAATAATAAATAATACCTTTGTTTACTCCCGGCAGTGTTTATAGCACAAAGGCTAGTAGTGTTTTTTTTTTTTACAAAACGGAATGTAGTAGATACAATGAAACAATCCATGTAAAATATCAAAAATGAGAGACAGTGTATCATCGGGATATCCGAACATTGAGAAGAGAGTTAAAAATACGACGCGCAGTGGAGTATTTTCTGACGGAATTCGAGGTGTTTGGATTGCCGATAAAACACTGTCTCCTCTCAATCGAAACAAACGGAGAAGCATAATCGTCAAAATCTTCGATAATTACGACCGGGTACCCAAACTTCCTTCACGGTTGTGATTTCCTTTGTTTTAACTTGATGAATTATTAATGAGTTTGAGAAGTAATATATCGAAATACACTAATAAAAGTGACTGAATAATGTTAATAGAAGTCAATCAAAACCAAAACGTTTGAATAACTGTTATTTATAAACTTTTGGTTCAGTCGACGTAGTACGACATTGTCCGCCATAATATCCTAAAAAAAGCGAACTGAAGTGGAGGAAGGTGGATGGAAGAGTAGTCTGAACTGCAAGTTTACGTCATTTTACTCTGTTGTATTTCGGAGGGGCCGGTAGCGAGCCTTGCAAAGCCGATTAAGAATCAGATCCAGATAATAAACTGATCAATATTTTGAGTTCTTTTGTTACAAAGAGCTTTCCACTGCTACTTTTTTAAGGATTTAAAATTAGTTAGTATCAATACCGGACATAAATTATAACCAGAAAACGGCTCATATTAGAAAATTGTAAAACTGTGGTCAAAATTTTCACGCTTATCCAAGATAAGCTTAATCGTGCTTTACAACACTGTCCAATATTGCAGTGTAACGGGGCGCCCAAACATTTTAAGGTGGTTCGATACAGTTTTTTCTGAAACCTACCTAGCATTTTTAATTGGCGTTTTACCAACCTTCCCTTAGTATGATATCGATGCGAAAATAAAACCAGTTTTTGGAAAAAGATTGAAGTTTGGTTGAATGTGTTTTCAAAGGTTATCGATATTTCCATGGAAACGATAAAACAAAAGAATGAAAATAGCAAACAAAAAGCATCGTTTGAAATGTTTTCTCTATTTATTCGAAATCAAACATACAGAAATATATACATTTCGCCGATAAAAGTAAAATTTAAAACTGTAAGGTAAAAAGCTATTAAAATTGAGTCTAAACGTTTTCGATCTGTTTGATCATCATCAGAGATCGAAAACGTTTAGACTTACCTTAGTTTTATATCAAACATACAGAATTTGTTTTTTCTTCAATATACCCCTTGCCATACATCGTAATTTCAGAAATTGCAATCAGCTTTTCCATAGCAGATTTGGTTCGTCCAAAATTCACGCTTTTCCGATTTTCATTTTTTGGTTTATCGTTTCCATGAAATATCTGTAACACTCTTACTAATTATGCTTACAAGAGGCCCCGCGGGACATCTGGTATTTTCGCGCGCGCGTGAGGTCAATATGCTAATAAGACTAGTAGTTTAAATTCTGTGGCAA